AGGATGTAGGTCTACTGGGACATCCTGGAGTTTATGGATCAATACCTTTCCTGCTGCATCTCCCTGCCTCACTGTCCTCATTGCTCCTCACCCATTGGTTTGACTTTGGGCTATTTATGGTATCTTTATGGATTAACAAGGCCCCAACAATCAATGGGCCAAACTTACTATCACTGTACTCTCCCTCTTATTCTTGCTTCTCATTTCTCTGCTTGTGTCAGCCCCTTTTCTGTGTAAGACTTTACGTCATTGTAGTTTCTCTCATTGTCGTGAAATATTTGACAATATCTGACACTACTCGGAGTGTTCTGTCACAAACACGCTGTCCCACAAATAGAAACATAGCCAGGGGAATATAATTTCTAATGTAGGTGCAATGTGATATGGTCTATGTCAATATGAGAATTCACAAAGATAATGACTTTGTGCTGGTGAGGCGGCAGTGTCTTCAGGTGTTAAGTGGATTCTTTGCACACATTCAGCAGTTTTGTTGCTCACTAGGACACAGTAGAGGGGAGTGTCCATAGGAATCGTCGCCATTAGTGCAGTTTGGGATCAGAAATGACATTTGTGCGTGTTCAGACCACATATAAGTGCAAGCACTAGTGTAGTTGTTTATTTTTATGGTTTCATATGGCAAATTCACACCCACACCAACCTCCTCAGAATCAAATAAACTTTTTATAAAAATTCAAATTTGCCTGCTTTACTTTTCGACCAGTGAATCAAACCTTTTTAAATTTATTTATTTTTTTTTTACAAAAATAAAGCTCACAGGTGACACGCATTGTATTGTAATACAAAGTTTGTTATATCTGCACATTTTATTGTATAAATTATTGATTTTCAGCTGTCAGTGTGTGTCTCAGAAAACTGTAGTGACTTTGTAGTACAAAGCAAACAGCAAATGAGAGCTACAAGTACAAGCTTGATTAGTTGTACTTGATGTCAGGTGTGTATCACCTGTCACATCAAGTCACCGCCAAATGACAACAGGTTTGTCCTAATCAAATCACTTTTTATACTGCACCTGTACCACCTGTGTGATGGGACTGATGCTGCTCATGAAACTTCCAAAAACCTATCGGCGTATGTGCACTATGACTAAAACATATTGTGAAGATACAATATGATTATTTATTAATTCAACAACTGCATATGTATTAGCTGACTTAAAAATGGCATAAAATACATCCAATTATATTTTATAATTGAACCACATCACTCGCCAAGAGGGCTCAATCATGCCTCTACTTCCTCCGCAAACTGAGGAGGGCCAGTGTCCCACCCCCCATCATGCGCTCTGCAAGAAAGCATATTAAGTGCTTTCTCTGAAATGTCAAACTATTACTGTAATAAAAGGTATAACACGTAATTATACATTATATTTATGCTATATGCTAAAAACACCATTTTATTTTAAATGTGTTTCTAATACACATAGCTGTAGTCATGTTAGGTTTTTAGAGTGAACCTTCACTTACTATTGTTTACATAATATATACATAAAGCACAACAATAAAAACATTACAGCAGCTCCACCATCTAGATCAGACATTATCCTCATACACACTGTACATAACCAACAGCAGACACTGCCATTCAACAACAGCACACAGTCTGCATCTTATACCATGATTTGTAAACCATCTGTGGTCATTGTGCTTTGCTCCTCTCTCCAACAATAGGGCAGAGTCGAGCACAACGGCACCTTGACCCCCCATTTCCTTTAGTGGCAATCCTGATTAGCGAAGTGACAAGCTTCTCCTAAGCCATTGTTAATGTATTAGTGTTTTGAGTCCCTGTGGAGAGCAATAACTGCTTATCTAATCATTTAGAGATGATTATCATTCAGCTGTTCATTGTTAGAGGATGGAAGATATATTGTAGATATGGAGGGAGAGAGAAAAAACCTTTTAATGATACTGAAAGATGTGTGGTAGAACCAGTCACATTCAACAAGTTGCAGTATTGTAATGAGTGAGTCAAAAAAAATGGATGAGAACAGGGGGAGGAATTTTTATGAGTAACTGCGATGATGAGACAGAGCCAAATAAGATATGCTTCATAGATGACACTAATACTGCAAAGTTAATCAAGAGGTTTGTTATGTGCATGCTTTCTCCGCTGATTCATTTGTTCTCGCACACGCCACAGTGAAATTTGTCACTGTAGCTCACCTATAGACATGGCATTTATGTCTTGAAGTTCAAAACATTGAGATCTTGAGTCACTGACCGACTGTACCGATCAGCTGGTGGTCACGAAATGTCTTTTTGTCCAAAATGTACTGGAATGTGATAGCTTTTCTTAGTATTAAGATTTTATTTACAAAACACGTTATGGTTACTGACTTAGTAGGGTACCCCAACGTTTGCACATAGTACAGTTGAAATAAAAGTAAAAATGTATTCGAATTCAAAAAGTCTCATTTTAATGTCTGTTGCCGTTTACTTTATTTCACCATTTGCCCAAACCTTTGCTTGCAGCTGTGCACGATGGGGCTTTATGAAGCATTGCCCATTCATCATAATTATTCTGCTTACAGAAAGACAGCCCATTGTAAAAAGATGAATAATAGTAACTGCTTTGAGTTTATGACCTACAGCAGCAGATACACAACAGGAGATATTGGAAAATAAACATTAAAAATGAACTTTGTTCAAAAAATGATCACCTCTGGGCTAAATCACACCACATGAAACAAAGAGCCTCTGCTCCCAAAGACATGCGAGGAGTGAGCCTATCTCTGTGCAAAGTGATAACATGATCATAATATTACATTATGGAGTGTGGTATTAGAATCCCATTGCTCCATCTTTAATACTTTTGTCAAAGTGGCGTGTCAGATGTACTGACCTTTACAATTTATTTCAAAAGCTTCAAAACATAATGTTTGAAAAAGGTAATCATTGGGTTTGTCTGGTTTTACATCCACCTTCCTGCTGGGTTTTGGTTGTTCTTGCTGTGTACAATGCAACTCACCGTGTTCGAGTGCAGTGGTAATTCTCGAAAGGGTGAGAGCACAGTGGTATGTACATTAATGGCTGAGCACAGTGTGTAGAAACCTGTAGCCAAATTGTGTGGAAAGAGGGAGGAAGTGCTGAAGAGGTACAAGTAGGCAGGTGTCAGGATCAGCGAGTAAAGCTACCGATGATGTCGAGGGTGAACTCAATTATAAAGCCAGATGAGTAAAAACAGAACACTGACTCTTTAATAAGAGCACTGGTCTGACAAAAACTATAAACAATGCAGAAGTCTGATTCAGCATGTAACTGTCTCAGGTCGATAATCCAGTCCAGGGTCAGACCCAGCAAACTCACACATCCAAGGTATCCACAAGAAGAACGGTCATAAGTCGGTGCACAGAATCCAAACAGAATCAGAAGGGTTAGGCAGTACTCGGTGGTTACAAGGCAATCCGCGGTCAGCGCTGGAGCAACAGGCACTAGGAAAACCGCTGGCGAGTCTGAACATGAGTTAGAATGATCTGGCAGCTTCTTGGTGTGGGGAAGCTGCCTATATGCTGTTGTAAGCAGGTGTGAGCAATGAGAAGCAGGTGAAACCAATGTGGGTGATGAGATAAAGTTCCTGGGAGTCAGGGTGAGCTGGGGACAGGAAGTAGTGTCAAAATAAAAGCATGAGACCGGAAGCAGGCAGGGAGGGAGAATGGAGGGGATAGAAGTAGGAGTGTCATTTGTCAAAAGGCTCACAAATGCCCTGATATCAGACCACTGTAAGACCACCGGGCTGCTGTGTGTGTGTGTGTGTGTGTGTGTGTGTGTGTCAGAGAGAAGGAGAGGGAGGGAGACAATGCTGCACGGGTGCTTATATCAAACACAAGTTTCTGTTTATTTGACTGTATTATTGAGTGTGTAATTGAAGTAAGTGAAACTCCAGTAATTGTGTACTGTGGTGGGACAGTATTGCTGTAACACAGAGAATCAATAACCATAGGATTTGGTTAATGTGATGATGTCAACACTGAAGATAAAAACAAATACCTGAGCTCCATGGTGATACGTGACTTGTACCATGCCTGTATTTGTGGGACATCTACTGTACTCTACTGCCCAGTGTACAAGTACATGTTGCATTTACCTAATCAAAAGCACCAATAACTGCACCGGAGGTCTTAGTGGGTCAAACAGTTTGTACTTGAATTGAACTCAAGAGGAAGTAAATCTAAGTCTTATCAGACTTGAAAAGATCCAATTTTGTTTGGGTCCAGTGGTTTCAGAGCCCCCATGTTAAATAGAAGGGGTTACTACAGTGCAGTTGTTTGCTACTGTAAGTCACTGCTTGCAATTTATTTTCAAGCCTTTCTGGAGTTTTTTTTATTGCCTCCAGTTCCTGAGTCACTTTTGCTTCTTTTCTGTAAGAATGTTAGTAACAATAAAGTGGCATATACTTAAACGAACCACATGCTAAAAACATTAAGCTAACAAGCATAATATTTGACTGTTTATGGTTTTTGTTTCTGGATTTAATCACAACTTTCTTATGACCTGTGACAGAATGAAACAGTAGATCTGATGCAAGCTTGGTCAAGAGTTCACAACAGTCATCTGTGTTTCATCACTTCTCCTCTTGACTATTAAAATGTCTTTGCGTTAGCAAAAATCCCTGTCTTGTCTGCGCCTTGTGAAAAATACCTCTGTTTGCATTTTAAGCATATTAAAGAAAGAGCAGCACATTTCACCTGTGCTTTCCATCCTACACTGGCTCACAGTTTCTTTTAAAATTGATAAGTTCAAAGGCACTAATGGGCCTTACAGCTGGTTATATTGCAGAGCTGTAACACTGATTTGAAAAACTCTCTATAATAAAAGTCATTATTTTTCACACACTGAAGCTTATGAAGACAAATATGACCATTTGGTAATAATAACATGATAATTTCCAAAGATGAGGAATATGATGACAGAGATGATTGTGATCATGGCGTCATTGAATCTGCTGCAGCCATTAAGATGATGACTGTTTTTTCTTATTTTCAGCTGCATTCTGGGGCGACATCGCTTTAGATGAGGAGGACCTGCGGATGTTCCAGATTGACAGGACAATAGACCTGACACAACATGCGCACATGGACACACACTCACGACAGGGGCACACGTCTGGTGAGTGGACACCACATATCACTCTCACTCCATAATCGTCATGTAATGCTCTCTCTCATGTTTCCTCTGAAACGCAGTCAGCTGCAGATTAGAGCAGCTTGAACAGGAAGGGAGTAGACAGAGGATATCGGCATTTACTGTGCATTGTTTGTGTCTTGATTCGTCACTCTTATGTGTATGTGTCAGGTGGCCTGGAGGAACATGAAACTGCAAAGAAGAGAGGATCGTTGTACCTGCTGCTAGAAAGAATACAGAGATTTGCTTTTGGTATGGACCCTGAACTTCACTACATGCTCTGATATTATTTGATTTAAATCCTGTATACTTTTCATTACTGCAGACAGTTTTCCCAAACACACCATAATGGTATCATGAATCAGGTGTGATACACCCTGGACAGGTCACTGTTTATCGCTGGGGTGAAACAGAGGCAGATGACCATTCACACTCATGCTACTGATGAGTCTGTTGAGCGGATTCGACCTGATTTTAGACTCGACTCAGTTGCGCCTGACAACTTTTAGAGTTGGGCCGAATTTCGTCCTGATCAGTTGTGGTTTGGCGTAAAGTGTGAGCAGGGTTCCGGCGCTAGTTTTATGAACCCAATGACCAGTGATTTGCTTCCTCACATGGATTTCTGGCATGTCAGAAATCCGGTTGGCTGTGTTGCAGATTCATGGTCCAAACTTAGTTCAGTGCACTTGCGTGAGTACAAAGACAACAATATAATAACATGGCACAGACAAGATATCACATTTTGTGGGCAGAATCAACTGAAACGAGGCCGTAGACTGCATATAATGTTTAGAAACTGTGTATGGATGAGGCTAATCAAGCTCTGGCAGTGCCACACTGTACAATGTGTTATCAAAATGTTGTCATGATCTACAGCAACAAGAGAAATACTGGCAGCACATGACAGCTGTTCATCAGCTGTACAAAGTAAAATGACTAAAGGTAACGCTGTTTTTCTTCTGGCTGACTTTACTGGAGTTGTCACTGAACACACCTGTTTAAACGTCCAATGTGAGCACCCATGTCGTGCCCGACTGAGTAAATGTAGAGTGTGAGCAGTGAAGTTGTGGATTCTGGCCATGCAATCAGGCCGATTTAAACGTATAGTGTGAGTTAACATATCGTATATGATCAATAAAAGTGAAGCACAATCAGACTTGACTTTACCTTTTTTTAGCACAGCTCGGCTCATTCAGTATACATCATTAATGTCTTTAAATTAAATGTTTAATAAAGCAGTATATTGCACCACCAGAACTATTTTTGCCCTGTTTTTATTACTCTCTGATCTGAGAGCAAACTTTGAAAGGTCACATATAATATGAAATAGAGAAAACTAATAATATGGAAGCACATTTATGACCTGATATTTATGATACTGTAGTTCAATAATTTATTCCATTTGAACTCCAGTGGATTTGCTTGTTGTTTTTCTCCCTCTGCTTTGTTAGACTATCTTCCTAAGAATGCCAGCAAGAGAGACGCAAGTCCCAAAACTGGGAAAGGTGGAAAGACTGGGAACACTGTCAAGAGCCGTATTCGTCGAGCAGCCACATCCCGAGCTGAGAGGATATGGCCCGGAGGAGTTATTCCTTACGTCATTGGAGGAAACTTCACTGGTAAGCAACCCTGCTGGACTGCTGCCAGTGCTGCTCAGCGGTAAAGTACACACTGACATGTAGTTGTGTAAAAGTAGGATGTAAAATGCGTGTGTTTCAGGTAGTCAGAGGGCTATGTTTAAGCAGGCCATGCGTCACTGGGAAAAACAGACGTGCGTAACGTTCATTGAGAAGACGGACGAGGAAAGCTATATAGTGTTCACCTACAGACCCTGCGGGTGAGTTGGAAGATTTCTTTATAAATGTGTGATTGTGTGTGTACCTGGAGATCAGTAGTGGCCATGTCACAATGAGACGTTACAGTCACTCAACAATGGCTCCACTTTCCTTCCTGTCCTGCTCCTGGTTCCCCATCCTACCAATCACGGCTGTTTAAGTGTTTTTGTTCATACAGAAATGCATTGTTCTGTCGAGTGGCAGCACGGTGGGGTCAGAGTGTGTTTGTACAGTCATGGCACTTCACTGGTTGGTTGTAAATTGTAAGACTTTAGAGTGACTGAGATCTGAACACATGAGTTTATCGCTCCTAGACATTGTTGTACAGATGGCTGAAGGAGAAGGATATCCAGATACATCAATGAATTTACAGTGCCAGTGCTGCAGTAACAAGTGATTGACAAAAAACTAACCAACAGCAATTTTCACGTGATAATTATTTATCAAACAAAAATGCTAAACTGCTTATTTTCTGGTTTGTAATTTTAAAAATTGAGCTTCTGGCTATATAAAAGAACCAGTTTAACTTTGGCCCCAATGAGCAAATTTATAGCTATAGTTATAGTAGAATATGGCTTTTTACCGCCCACCGAATGAAATGAAATACAAGGATTGCTAGATTATTGGTGGGCAATAAGAGGCAGATGGGTGTTAGTGTTTATTAAATTAACTAGAATTACCAGAGGGCTCAGAGGTGGACTCGTCCATCACCCAAACTGAAGTCACTGAGGTAGTCAAGAAGCTTCTCGGTGGCAAGGCACCGGGGGTGGATGAGATCCGCCCCGAGTAACTTAAGTTTCTGGATGTTGTTGGGCTGTCTTGGTTGACACGCCTCGGCAACGTCGCATGGCGGTTGCGGACAGTGCCTCTGGACTGGCAGACCGGGGTGGTGGTCCCTCTTTTTAAGAAGGGGGACCGGAGGGTGTGTTCCAACTATACGGGGATCACACTCCTCAGCCTCCCCGGGAAAGTCTATGCCAGGGTACTGGAGAGGAGAATTTGACCGATAGTCGAACCTCGGATTCAGGAGGAACAATGTGGTTTTTGTCCTGGCCGTGGAACACTGGAACATGGAAGCAACCCCAGAAGAAAAACAAATTTGCTGTGTGCGCCGGGCGAGCAACATTCAGTGGGGAAAATAAATAGAATAAATGAATTGAGTATTAACGTTATGAAAAAATGTTCTCACAATACAGACATTGAAAGATCTCCTACCTTTTCCCCTTAACACATCTTTGGGAAGAATGGCCTCCGTCTTGTGATTCGGTATCCAGCTGTTATAATGGGATGTACAAGGGTTGGATTTAGTTTATTGTCATAATCGGTCTTACTGGTGTCTGTGTTTGGTTTGGCACCATAAAGATAGACGAGAACACTGGAGGGACACAAAGCTGTTGGTTTCTTACAATGCAATCCACGTGCCCAGGTAACGTTAATATTAACACCTGATCAGTCTTGTTACACACGTGACGCCTGTTACATTTTTATTTTATTTTCCTCTGCTGATATTTTTAGTGATGAGTGTTTGAATGTAATTTATATACTATCAGTGTTTAAACACAGTGCATGGGTTTTATTTTAACTTCTTAATAAGTCTGCAACTAATAATAATGTTGAGAAAACAATCTCATCACAGGTTCCATATAGTAGCTTTTCTGGAGCTTTCGATCATATCATACAGTCTCATTTGTCATGGAGCATTTGAAAGCTTTTTGTCCATGCTGGCACAAGGTGAAGAAATAACTTAGGACAGATGACACATCTGACCCAGCTGTCAATACAAGCTTTTGAGCTTTTGACAGTTTGAAGTCTCTTTAACTGGCACAGCAGAACCAGCTCCAGTCCTTTGACATCTGGATACATGATTACGTTAAAGCTGTAGAAACCTCCAGTCCCTGTGTCTTACCCACCTGTTTACACTCTTCAGGTATCATGAATGGATGAAGTGTCAACGCCTTGGCATTCCCCCGGAGGAGCTGGAGGAAGTGTCTGGAGAGAGGGAAGTCTGGGCATCTTTGCTTAGACTGCTGCCCCCACGACCCGGTCACGGATAAGCGGAGGAAAATGGATGGATGGATGAATTACCACCTTACAGTTGTATGTCTCCACCAGCCAGTCAGGCTGCAGTTTGTCCAGACTCATATAATATATAGTATGTAGTGAAGGCTTTGAACAAATTTAATAAAAGGTATTGTTAGGTATTTTTAGTCAGATAGAACTTCGATAGATACTTTATGTATTAGAAATGTTTAGTGGAGATAGGATGTCTAGTTAGACTGTTAAATGCTTAGTCATGCTTATGAGTTTCTACAGGGTACATCTGGTCAAGGATAACTAGAGAGAAGAGTCGATGACTGTCAGCAGACAGGGTGTTTAATATTATTATTATGACGTGTATAACCGTAGCCTTAGCCGTAATATGTTCTTATGTTTAAGTCACGACATGTACTAGAGGTCGTGAGAATGTTTTTAGTTACACACCACTTAATCAACAGACACACACATGCAAATTGATTTGCTTCATGTTTTGACTACTGCTATGGCCAGCTGCAAAGCTGGCAACAGAGACGTCTCGGTTGACGTTTCTGTGTAGTATGGGGCTAGCCCAACCGAGGTGATATAATGTATAGGCCTGGTGGGTTCAGGGTCTTTCATCTTACATCTGCCTGCGAGCAGTTTGGAGGTGCAAGATACCTGAGCGTGTAATGTTAATTTTGCCTGTGATCCTTTGAATAAATCAGCACTGTTTTGAAGTTACTTGGACTGTCTCGTCTCTTAGAGTTAGCAATGGTAACAAGAACCAAAATAGTCTTATAGTATGAAGTGTATTTTTTGGCAAAATGGAAGTTACTGCTGTATTGACATGTATAATTCTAGTGAATGCACAATCTGAAAACACAATGCCTGTGGCAGCTGGCACAGAAGCATAATAAACAACCCAAACAAAACAAAAACAAAAATAAATTTATCAATGGGGAAAATAATCATTAGTTGCAAGTACAAACAGAAAATTTCCACACTCCTTTTTTCAGTTGTCACTGCAGGTGTATAGCTCTGATCCTTGACCAATTCCTCATTTAAATAATAATTTTGCCCATTTTTCGTTATATTTTATTTATTTTATATTGAAAAAGTGGCTTTATAGAAGAACAATCAAATAAGATCCAAAAAAGTTCAAGTACTAAAGTACACTTTTGAAAAATATCAAACAATATAGAGACCTAAACTTATAACAGACGTTTGGTAGCACCTTGTGTGTGTGTGTGTGTGTGTGTGTGTGTGTGTGTGTGTGTGTGTGGGGGGGGGGGGGGGGGTGTGGGTGTGTGTGCGTGTGAAGTCGTTGTACAGATACTGGCACTGAAAATGCTACATGAACATACTCTCTACTCCAATGAATCCTGATCTTTATCCTGCAATGAGCCCGCTGGATCAGATTTGTTAGCCTGGCACGGATGTCTTGGCTAACCAGAAAGAAGAATGAATGTCTGTGTGTGTGTGTTTGTGTGTGTTCTTGTACTTGCTATATAGTGAGGACCAAACAACAGTTTTTTGCTGCAAAGTGAGAAAACAGCTTTTCAAGGGTTAAGACTTGGTTTTATAGTTCAGGTTAGAATTGGGTTTAAGGGTTAGGTGTTAGCCATTTAGTTCTGATGGTTAAGTGTTAGGGTAAGGGGCTAGGGAATGCATTATGTCAATGAGTGTCCTCACAAAGATAGAGGTACAAGTGTGTGTGTGTTTTGTGAGCAGATACGTGTGAATTCTCACAGTTTTTTTTTGCTTTGGAATATGAAACCGCTGCATTATTGAGGTATTGTATGCAAATAAATCCTGCTGCTTTTCCCCTGGTGGATGTACGTAGTGTGGGGCAGGAAATCCTGAAAAGACTTTGTGTATCTGTGTGTGTTCCAGCAGCACTGCTGATGCTTTTTCCACTGCCAAATGTGTGTGTGTGTGTGTGTGTGTGTGTGTGTGTATACTGCCGTGTTGATGCTTTTTCCACTGCCCGATGTATAGTAAATATCGTCCACCTATCTCCCTACTGTCAACTCCCTACTAATGCTTATTAGGTGTTGTTCCTATGTGGGTCGTCGTGGCAACGGGCCCCAGGCTATTTCCATAGGCAAGAACTGTGACAAGTTTGGCATCGTGGTGCACGAACTGGGCCATGTCATTGGCTTTTGGCATGAGCACACGCGGCCTGACCGTGACGATCATGTGACCATCATTCGGGATAATATCCAGCCAGGTGAGATTCATTGTCTGTGGTCTTTGTTTGAATCATCCTGGGTTGTGTCTATTTTGAGGCAAGAAGGACATTAAAAGACAACACGTGTCTGCCTTTTCAAGTTCACACTCGTGGTCGGCTCCGTGTGAGTGTGAATGAGGCTTTTAATGACTGTGAAGTCACCTAGACTCCCAGACTGTCTGCCACTTTTCCTACTACAGTCACAACATGATGAGTGTTAACATCAAATCACATACCACTGTATCAGACCTGATCCATGTTTTTGTTTAAAAACTTATCAGAACTCTCAACTACAATGCTTTATTGGACTTTTAAAAATGCTTTGTGAGTACAGAATGTGTTTGTGCACGTTATGGCAGCACACTGGATTCTTATTCTCTGATTGTTAATTTGTGATAAAACTAAACTTTCTACTGCTGTTGTCTGTACGTGTGTGTGTGTGTGGTTCCTAGGCCAGGAGTATAACTTCCTCAAGATGGAGCCAGGGGAGGTCAACTCTCTTGGGGAGCCATATGATTTTGATAGCATCATGCACTACGCCAGGAACACCTTCTCACGGTAGCCAGCGGCAACATTTTATCTGTTGAAGAAAGATCAAGTTCTTGATTTGCCAAAATGGATTTTTCTAAACTTTAAAACCTTCTCTGTAATTTTGTGAAACAGTAACTCTTGTGGTTTCTTGAATGTTTCTTTATGTTGAAATTTTGGGTTGGAACTGATAGTGAGATCTACCCCTCGTCAACTTTTATCATCCTTTGTAGGTTGATAAAAATGAATATTCAAAGAAACCAATACTGACTTTTACTGAGATTTACTGGACATATGATTACAGATCACAAACATTTTATTATTAACTGTATTTATCCATAAAGGTGCATTGACTAAGATTTGTCATAAATCAAGTGACAGTGGGGCAGGACATGGTGTTGCAGATAAAGTTTATGTGATTGACTATTGTATTAATTGTTGCAGCAATTTTATCCAGAATTTTTGTATTTTATTGTTAATTTTATTTTAGCAACCTGTAGAAGACTAGAAAATTAGCCTCCAGTAATTTAAAAAAACAAACATTAAAGGAAAGCCTAAATATTTATGCTTTCCTATAATTTTAATCATCCTGTGACCCCTTGTCTTGTCTTAACTCTCTGGTTAGAAGAGTATTTTAGTTCTAATCTGACTATAGCACATTTGTTTAGGGAAAAAAGTGGAAACCATCACTTTTCTTGTGCAGTAAAATTGATGGAAAGTTGTCAGCATTACAAAATTCCTTCCCATTTTTTTGACATCTCCGCCATCTGAAATCAGCCAGTGAGTGCGGTCACAAGTTCACTTTCTATGCTTTCCAAGTGAGAATGCTTTTTCCTCCATGCCTTCTCTTATAACATCTCCCATTCCACACTTTACTCCAACTCACATTTAAGAGCAAAAACCCAAAACACAACATTGGTGGGCGAACAGTGTTTTTGTGGGTTCATGGTTTTGTGTTCTTTGAGCATATTTTGATTTGATTTATTCTTTCTTTCAAGCATGTAAAGACAGTTGATATGTCAACACATAATTTTAAACATATCCAACAAATGCTAATCCAGTATCAATTTGCTTATACCTAGTACATGCTTGAATGGAGTAGGAAGAAGTCAGACTTATCCAGTCCTACCCCATGACATCATCTTACCATCATTGGTTTGCAAGCAGTATCTCTACATAGATAATTCTCTTCTACACCACACAAGTAATATACTAAAGAATTATTACAAAGTGTTAACATTCATACACCACACCCACAATGTTCCATCTAATTAATCATTAA